GTTTCGCATCTGCGTTTTTGTTTATGAGGTGTCTCAATCTGAGACTAAGTAAGACTCCATTTCTTCTCCATCACTACTTTTTTGTTTGGATTTGGATAACACCATAATGACTTCGGCATTCTTCTTCTTCGATGTTTTGGTACATTTTTTGCTTTAGGGTTTGTTTGAAAGTTTCGCATCTGCGTTTTTGTTTATGAGGTGTCTCAATCTGAGACTAAGTAAGACTCCATTTCTTCTCCATCACTACTTTTTTGTTTGGATTTGGATAACACCATAATGACTTCGGCATTCTTCTTCTTCGATGTTTTGGTACATTTTTTGCTTTAGGGTTTGTTTGAAAGTTTCGCATCTGCGTTTTTGTTTATGAGGTGTCTCAATCTGAGACTAAGTAAGACTCCATTTCTTCTCCATCACTACTTTTTTGTTTGGATTTGGATAACACCATAATGACTTCGGCATTCTTCTTCTTCGATGTTTTGGTACATTTTTTGCTTTAGGGTTTGTTTGAAAGTTTCGCATCTGCGTTTTTGTTTATGAGGTGTCTCAATCTGAGACTAAGTAAGACTCCATTTCTTCTCCATCACTACTTTTTTGTTTGGATTTGGATAACACCATAATGACTTCGGCATTCTTCTTCTTCGATGTTTTGGTACATTTTTTGCTTTAGGGTTTGTTTGAAAGTTTCGCATCTGCGTTTTTGTTTATGAGGTGTCTCAATCTGAGACTAAGTAAGACTCCATTTCTTCTCCATCACTACTTTTTTGTTTGGATTTGGATAACACCATAATGACTTCGGCATTCTTCTTCTTCGATGTTTTGGTACATTTTTTGCTTTAGGGTTTGTTTGAAAGTTTCGCATCTGCGTTTTTGTTTATGAGGTGTCTCAATCTGAGACTAAGTAAGACTCCATTTCTTCTCCATCACTACTTTTTTGTTTGGATTTGGATAACACCATAATGACTTCGGCATTCTTCTTCTTCGATGTTTTGGTACATTTTTTGCTTTAGGGTTTGTTTGAAAGTTTCGCATCTGCGTTTTTGTTTATGAGGTGTCTCAATCTGAGACTAAGTAAGACTCCATTTCTTCTCCATCACTACTTTTTTGTTTGGATTTGGATAACACCATAATGACTTCGGCATTCTTCTTCTTCGATGTTTTGGTACATTTTTTGCTTTAGGGTTTGTTTGAAAGTTTCGCATCTGCGTTTTTGTTTATGAGGTGTCTCAATCTGAGACTAAGTAAGACTCCATTTCTTCTCCATCACTACTTTTTTGTTTGGATTTGGATAACACCATAATGACTTCGGCATTCTTCTTCTTCGATGTTTTGGTACATTTTTTGCTTTAGGGTTTGTTTGAAAGTTTCGCATCTGCGTTTTTGTTTATGAGGTGTCTCAATCTGAGACTAAGTAAGACTCCATTTCTTCTCCATCACTACTTTTTTGTTTGGATTTGGATAACACCATAATGACTTCGGCATTCTTCTTCTTCGATGTTTTGGTACATTTTTTGCTTTAGGGTTTGTTTGAAAGTTTCGCATCTGCGTTTTTGTTTATGAGGTGTCTCAATCTGAGACTAAGTAAGACTCCATTTCTTCTCCATCACTACTTTTTTGTTTGGATTTGGATAACACCATAATGACTTCGGCATTCTTCTTCTTCGATGTTTTGGTACATTTTTTGCTTTAGGGTTTGTTTGAAAGTTTCGCATCTGCGTTTTTGTTTATGAGGTGTCTCAATCTGAGACTAAGTAAGACTCCATTTCTTCTCCATCACTACTTTTTTGTTTGGATTTGGATAACACCATAATGACTTCGGCATTCTTCTTCTTCGATGTTTTGGTACATTTTTTGCTTTAGGGTTTGTTTGAAAGTTTCGCATCTGCGTTTTTGTTTATGAGGTGTCTCAATCTGAGACTAAGTAAGACTCCATTTCTTCTCCATCACTACTTTTTTGTTTGGATTTGGATAACACCATAATGACTTCGGCATTCTTCTTCTTCGATGTTTTGGTACATTTTTTGCTTTAGGGTTTGTTTGAAAGTTTCGCATCTGCGTTTTTGTTTATGAGGTGTCTCAATCTGAGACTAAGTAAGACTCCATTTCTTCTCCATCACTACTTTTTTGTTTGGATTTGGATAACACCATAATGACTTCGGCATTCTTCTTCTTCGATGTTTTGGTACATTTTTTGCTTTAGGGTTTGTTTGAAAGTTTCGCATCTGCGTTTTTGTTTATGAGGTGTCTCAATCTGAGACTAAGTAAGACTCCATTTCTTCTCCATCACTACTTTTTTGTTTGGATTTGGATAACACCATAATGACTTCGGCATTCTTCTTCTTCGATGTTTTGGTACATTTTTTGCTTTAGGGTTTGTTTGAAAGTTTCGCATCTGCGTTTTTGTTTATGAGGTGTCTCAATCTGAGACTAAGTAAGACTCCATTTCTTCTCCATCACTACTTTTTTGTTTGGATTTGGATAACACCATAATGACTTCGGCATTCTTCTTCTTCGATGTTTTGGTACATTTTTTGCTTTAGGGTTTGTTTGAAAGTTTCGCATCTGCGTTTTTGTTTATGAGGTGTCTCAATCTGAGACTAAGTAAGACTCCATTTCTTCTCCATCACTACTTTTTTGTTTGGATTTGGATAACACCATAATGACTTCGGCATTCTTCTTCTTCGATGTTTTGGTACATTTTTTGCTTTAGGGTTTGTTTGAAAGTTTCGCATCTGCGTTTTTGTTTATGAGGTGTCTCAATCTGAGACTAAGTAAGACTCCATTTCTTCTCCATCACTACTTTTTTGTTTGGATTTGGATAACACCATAATGACTTCGGCATTCTTCTTCTTCGATGTTTTGGTACATTTTTTGCTTTAGGGTTTGTTTGAAAGTTTCGCATCTGCGTTTTTGTTTATGAGGTGTCTCAATCTGAGACTAAGTAAGACTCCATTTCTTCTCCATCACTACTTTTTTGTTTGGATTTGGATAACACCATAATGACTTCGGCATTCTTCTTCTTCGATGTTTTGGTACATTTTTTGCTTTAGGGTTTGTTTGAAAGTTTCGCATCTGCGTTTTTGTTTATGAGGTGTCTCAATCTGAGACTAAGTAAGACTCCATTTCTTCTCCATCACTACTTTTTTGTTTGGATTTGGATAACACCATAATGACTTCGGCATTCTTCTTCTTCGATGTTTTGGTACATTTTTTGCTTTAGGGTTTGTTTGAAAGTTTCGCATCTGCGTTTTTGTTTATGAGGTGTCTCAATCTGAGACTAAGTAAGACTCCATTTCTTCTCCATCACTACTTTTTTGTTTGGATTTGGATAACACCATAATGACTTCGGCATTCTTCTTCTTCGATGTTTTGGTACATTTTTTGCTTTAGGGTTTGTTTGAAAGTTTCGCATCTGCGTTTTTGTTTATGAGGTGTCTCAATCTGAGACTAAGTAAGACTCCATTTCTTCTCCATCACTACTTTTTTGTTTGGATTTGGATAACACCATAATGACTTCGGCATTCTTCTTCTTCGATGTTTTGGTACATTTTTTGCTTTAGGGTTTGTTTGAAAGTTTCGCATCTGCGTTTTTGTTTATGAGGTGTCTCAATCTGAGACTAAGTAAGACTCCATTTCTTCTCCATCACTACTTTTTTGTTTGGATTTGGATAACACCATAATGACTTCGGCATTCTTCTTCTTCGATGTTTTGGTACATTTTTTGCTTTAGGGTTTGTTTGAAAGTTTCGCATCTGCGTTTTTGTTTATGAGGTGTCTCAATCTGAGACTAAGTAAGACTCCATTTCTTCTCCATCACTACTTTTTTGTTTGGATTTGGATAACACCATAATGACTTCGGCATTCTTCTTCTTCGATGTTTTGGTACATTTTTTGCTTTAGGGTTTGTTTGAAAGTTCTGCGTCTGCGATTTTGTTTATGAGATTTCTCAATCTGAGACTCAGTGAGACTAATTTTGTGCATCTCAGTGAGATGCCCATTTGGTGTCTTGCTATTCTAAAGAGTCCAACTTCAAATTTTATTAAAATCGGTTAACCGATAACCAAAGTGATAATTCGGTTTGGTTAATAAGCAGTTCAAAGGATAATTCGATTCGGTTTTGGTTTGAATTATCTTTTGAACCGAAAAACCGGTTCGGCTTGAAAAATGTGCAATCCAATTCGATTAACCGATTTCCACACCTCTAGTTTTAAGAAAATGATTTTTGGTGTGACCTTGTGGATTAGTTTCAGATTTCTTTCATAAAATTAACGTTACACATGTAAGTGTAGAGTAGTCTTTGCAATCAATGATTCCGACACATGTATTTCATGCAAGATACGTTGAAACAGTTTGAGACACGAGAGTCTCATCTATAAATACAATTATTTACCAACTCACATTACATATAAACATTTTAATAATTCAATACGACGTCAGATCTTACGCCTCAAACTGCCAGCCAAAATTGAACTCTTTTTTCACTTAAAATAAGTGGTTTGATAAGAAAGTTGGTTGCCTATATACAGCAAATTCATCTTGAGAATATAGTTGCTATCTTTTGAGTTTTGACTAGCGCTTAGGATGAGAATAATGCCAATTGAATTGTCAATTTTTCTCTTTGTTTTATTATTTCATATTTTTTTGCAATTACTTCTCAATCGCACCACAACTTTGTTGAAAATTTACATATGTAATCGAAAATGGCCCATTAATAAATAAAAGATGAGATAGCTGCATAATGCGACTACAGGCCCAGGTTTGTGGTTGTTTTCTATGTAAATAACTTCAAGCGCCTTTATATAATGAAAAATGACCCATTAATTATCATATCACATATACAGACAATAATGGTAAACATTCGCCAGCTTATAATAACGTATATAAAATAAATAAATTTATAATAGCGAGGTGGACATTATACATTAAATTAAACTATAAAAGCTAGGGGGCAATAAAGTCTTTCTATTTTTCTCTTTTTTTTTTTTTTTTTTTTTGGATCTTAGATTTATCTTTAACCAGTTTAACCTGATAACTTCAATTCCTTCTGTATTTTGTCGCTACGACGCTTTCACGGCTTCCATCTCAACCTTCCAACTCCAAGTTCCAACACAATTTATTCACATGCTCTCACCCAAAGTTCTCATAAAATGAAACTAGTATTTTTATTGTTTCTCGATATCATTTAGCAGAATAATTAATTTGAAGAAATCAATAGCTCAAGGGGTCATCTCTACCAAAGAAAAGGATTATACATGAATTTAATCCATGGCAAAATCAAAAGCAGATTGAGAGGGTCCCTACTCTCGTGTTACTTCTTAGCTCTTATACATTTCAGGCTTAAAATTAAGAACCAGAAGAATAAACCAAGATTGTTGTTATTGGCTGCACAACATTGGTGTACAACCTGCTGAAAAATAGTTTTGCAAGAACTACAAGAGCCTTATTTCTCGTGAACCAGAGGGCTGTAAATAGGGTACCACATGTTTTGAGTGATATATTCCACTGTCTCCTCCTGCATCCAGAAACAGAAGGCAACTGTTAATTTTAGAGAAAGAGAAGGCGAAAGACTAGGTAGCTGAAGCCATACTAGCTCTTAAAATGTACAGAATTTCCATATATGTTATCAGGCATACATGAAACCAAATAAAAGTACTCCCATCTTTATCACTGAGATGAACTGTTTTTTAAGGAATCAGTAAATTAATTCAAAAGGTTGTCACTTGATTTCGAGAAAAGTAAAGTGCAGAAGGTCCGCCATGAGGCAGTAGGGCCACCCTCACACAACTTTCAGCTCCTTCAGCAACAGTCAAGAGGCCAACATTGCAATTCATGTCAGTCATGACAAAGCCTGGGGAAACACAATTTATCATGAAACGCGGGCACTTCTTTGCCAGAATCCTTGTGTAAGCATTCATAGCTGCTTTTGAGACTATGTATGCTGATTGATACACTGGCCAACCTTCTTTGTCTAACCACCCCTCTTTGAAATCCTTCAGAAATTTGTTCAATAACTCATCCAATCTCTCTTCGGTAAGTCTATTAACATCAAGTAGCACTCCTTTGACTGATTCACCAGGAACATTCTGGGCCAACATGACAGGAAATTTTCAGCCGGACATATTTAATGCCATGAGAAATATATATAAACAATAACAATGAGATTTTTAGCCAGTGTAATTACAATAATTTGTCCATGCATGTAGGAGCTGAGCATAAGAAATTACTCTTATAATTACCATCTGGTAATAAAATTAAGCTCAAAGGGGGTATTTAGATCATATAAAGGGATATTATATTAACAGAATAAAAAATTACCTTTAAAGATTATTAGAAATGTTTAAAAAATGTGTTTGATTGATTCGAATAAATTGGTAAATAATATGTTTAGTTAGGAGGATAAATAGGTGGGTATGTTATATAGATTACTAAATTGTTCTCCTTTTCAAATATTAATATAATAGTATTTTTTATTATTATTTTTGTGAATAATTTCCTTTAACCCCCAACTTTTCAGATTTAGGAAAAACACCCTAACAACCAAAAATATTTTAAACTTAACAAAAACACCCCTACCCACCCCAAGCCACTACCGACAGCCAACCACCACTGTTAGCGGCCGCCAATAGTGTCACAGATTTGGCCGTGATGCTGGCAATGCCATAGATCTGGCCATGATTGTTTCACGACCAAATTCATGACCACAGATCTGGCCATGAAACGCCAGTTGTTTCACAGCCACAAGTTTAACCGTGAAATGGTCAGGTCTTTGGTCTGTTTCATGACTAAAGATGTGGATGTGAATCTGGCCGTTTCCGACCATGGATCTGTGATCCATGGTCGGAAACGGCCTCACCGGCGCACAACTGACCATATACAACCAGCCGTACGCCATTATGACGACTTTTGGCAACCTTCGATGGCGATCCACGGTGGCTGACAGTGGTGGCTAGTTTTGGATACAATGACATTTTTATAAATAATGACAATAACAAGGGAAATGTCATCCGAAAAATTTAAAAAATGAGGACAAAAAGGTCTGCATGAGTGAATTGAGTGCTTTGTAAATCTTAACAAATATAAAACTAATTTGGACCAAATGTCAATTGTTTAGGGGCAATATGGGAAACAAAATATATTACCTTGGATAAGTTTTAATAACAGCCCCCCACCCCCCCCCCAAAACAAAAGATATTAAGATTCCCAACAATTTACCTCCCAAATGCCACTATTTGTCATAACATATTCCAAGAATAATTTTTTACCAACCAAACATCGTCATCTGCCCAATTTAAAAAATATTACCCCAGTTATCTAATATTAACCGGATTCAAACGGCCCAAAGGTATGCAATACTAGTTCAATAACATGACTACATCACATTAACAAAGATTTTAAAAATCTAATCTGTCCGTTTAGCTATAATTTTTCTGGAAGCATTGTACTTAGTATTTTCAGTTAATTGCTGAGAAGTCGGTCAGAAGCTGCTACTTTTATGACTATCACTTTCTTTTATACAGGACCCTTGAGAATGGCGTGTGTGGAACATGATTGTTCAGCAATGTAAAATGAAGCAAAAAAATTTGCTAGCCAGATAGAATATGAAGCGAATATCAGTGTTTTAAAGAAACCGAGTGATCAGCTATCTAGGACTTTCTCAGAAAGCAGTGTGCATTTACAAGTACTTTGAATATATATACGAGAGCAATCAAGTCTACATAAAGCATGTTATCTTAGAAGTAGAAGATTTTCTATTACCTTCAACGTTCCTAGCAAAGAGGTGACGTTGACAATCCGGGGTGAATCAGATAATTGGAGAAGGGGAACAAGTGCTTCAGCCATTCTTTTTACACCATAGTAGTTTGTACTCAGGCATTCTTCTGCCATCTCAAGAGTTTGAGTTAAAATTTCATTCCAATTTATGTGCTCTGCTGGCTGAATTAAAAAAAAACAAAAAAAACTTGAGAATCAAAATGTATCCCATTTATGATTTAATTTATACAAAATGCATATTACATTTATCCACAATATCAAAGTCATATATGCTTCAACAAGATTATGTGATGCAACTATGTCAGACATTCGTTTTCTCATGTTCAATATTTCTTCTGCTCATGCTTGACATGCCGTTTGCTACTTCCCCTACATTTGCATAAAGTAAAAACCTACCCAACCACCGGCAAGCTTCACAGCTCTCGAAAAAGCATCAGGGTCTTTAACTGCTCCAGCAGTCCCCGCATTGTTCACCTACACAGTTCCCAAATTTTCATATTAATTTTTCTAATCTTCCTAAGAAAAAATTTACAATCGACAAACATTGGACATACTACAGAACCACAGATAATTTGGACGCCAGACGCCAGTACACAACAACAATTCGAAAAAGAAAAAATTCAAATTCAAATTCAGATGCAGATGCAGATGCACATGCAGGTTTCTGCAATAATTAAGCATTATAAAATAGAGGGTAAAAAGCATACCAAGATATCAAGCTTTGGAAATTGGGTGGTAATGAAATTCGCCAGAGAAGCAATACTAGCTGGGTCCGTCACATCTAATCGATGAAAAAGCACAAGGTGAGAGAGACCATAGTCTCCGAGTCTTTCAACAGCTTCAAGACCCTTTTTCTCGTCTCTGGCGGTTACCAACACTATCACCCCCTTCGAAGCTAACTGTCTACATATCTCAAATCCAATACCCTTGTTTCCTCCGGTAACAACAGCATACCTGAGCTGAATTGAGATCACTAACATCAAAATTAATGTACCGAGCAAGCAAGCCAGGAAAGAATTTACCTCTTTGTTGCAAGAAAATTTGATAATGCCTCTGCCATTGTGCGTTCTAAACGATGTGAAAAAAGTTTCAGTATCTTATTCTTATGAAAGTTGTATAAGCTGCAACGGAATCAATGAACATAGCATTTTGCCCTTGCGGCAAACGAATTAAAAATGAATAATGGTATAAGATTTCTGATTTGGCATAATATTATTATTATTAGTTTTGTGACAGGGGTGTTTCGGCAATTTATGCATGTCTCAATTAATTCTGAATTAATTTTTCGAGGTGCTGAAATTGATGACCCGGCAAATCCTTTAGTGGCCATCTTATTAGGGTATATGGGACTTAAACTCAGGAGCTTATAGAATCTCTTTTTGCTTTTTTATCATCAAGTCACCCAACGATGATTGATTTGACATATTATTCACATTTGACTTTTCGTATGAGGGCACGAATAAAATGATAATCAATCTGATTGATTGAAATAGATCAAACTTAATGAATAGTCGTTTGATAGCAACTTTTGAGTTAATTGTTCAAGAGATCCTAAGTTTGAGTCTTTTCTCAGTTGTTAATAAAGGTAGTCACTGAAGCTCTTATTCAGTCGATAATTTTAGGGTCCCGAATGATTAGTTGAGGTATTGGACTTAATTAATATGGGCCTCTCAAATTTTGGATTAATCTTAAGAAGAGATTTGAACATAACAAACCAGTAATACTGCCACCGGCTCAATATGACTGGAACCATTTGCATTTACAAGAACATAAATCTGTAGCGAATATAATTCTGCGAGAGAAAGTATCTGAAGAAAATATGTTGGAAAAAAATATTCTCCACTTTCCACCCTTCCTATATGCTCCCGCAGCAGCAATTCAGAAGCATATTGGAAGGGTGGAAAGTGGAGAATATTTTTTCCAACATATTTTCTTCCACATAATCTTAATTTAGATCAAATAAAGAAGAATTATATTCACTAACAATTTATAGTCTTGTAAAAGCAAATGGGTCTAGTCATATTCAGCCGTTAGGAGTATTAGTGATTTGTTATATTCAATTCTCTCATTCAGATTAATCCACAATTTGAGTGGATCTTTTAGATCCCTATACTCAACTCGTAGTCCTTCTTTGATATGATGCTGAAGGAAAATAGTAGCCTTTAGTTTATCCTGCAAGGACGCCATGTTTCCTTAATCACTTCCCATTTTTGGACGTAAAGAATGAAAGGGAGGGAGTATTTATAGCCAACACACCCTCCCACTTTCACCGCCTCAAGTTTCCTCCACCAATAAGTAAACGGTGGAGGTTCATTGCTTATAATGAACTGGTCATATTTAATCTAATCCTTATTGTTGCTCGACATCTTGCCACTTACAACACCACGATCTAACTATCAAATCACAACCCTTAAATCTTTCATTCATTTTGGATTAAAAACATGACAGTTGATCTCGACTATAGAAAAGGCCAGAAGGCCCGGCATGAGGCAGT